TTGCACAGCGTGCTCTATAGCACTGATTCGCTCCAAAATGCGTTTGGCCCCCCTTTCAGTTGCACGCAGGTCACCCTGGCGCGGCTGCGCGGTAGCAGCGGCAAACGCACGAAGCAATTGCGAGCCCGAGGGTAAACAAGTTGATCGTTACGCCCTTGAGATGCGCTTGCAAATTCCTTGATGGTTGCTCGATCTATATATATATATATATGTGTGTATAGGGTCGCCTCTTGTTTTCGTGCAAACAGCATGCTTTGCTTCGACAGTGCCTGCTGGTGGATTAGGAAAAAAAAAAAAAACTGCTGGATAAAACTCTGGGGCAGGCGGGCCGTTGTAACCGATCTTGGCTTTTCTACGGCGGCTTCTGCGGACCATTATCGAAGCCCCACCTGTCGTCTGGATAACTGTTGTTCAACCAATCGTGACGGCGCCGGTTGCACCTGGTCGCTGCGGAAGGGTGCCCCATTGCTCTCGGGCGCCTTAGTTAGTTGAGCTTCGTAACCCAGCTTTGCGCCAGCGCTGGCCACAAGATCCTCCACGCTGCGGTCTGACATCCCTTCCGAATGATATGGATAGGCAGAGGCAACCAGGAAAGGAGGGGCGCCAGGGAGCTCCAACGAGCAAACAAGACCCCTGCCCTGCAACATGTTGCCCCCTGGAAGGTCGTGACACCCGAGCCAGCTGCGCACGAAAATGGCGACGCCCCCACTGGGCCCCCCCGGAACGGTGGCCGAGGCGGGCGACCGCACCGACTTCCATCCTCGGCGGAGATACCAGGCGCTAGCCTGTCCAATATCTCCCTAGGAAATCAACCGATGCTCAACTTCCATCCTCGGCAGAGCACAATGTGAGCGTCACAACCAGGGAGGAACGCGCGCATGGTACCCCAGGGATAGGCATTGATGTAGGACGAGAAGACTCTATTGACAACGTGCTATACGTCCCAGAGATTCCAGTATTGCGCCGAGTATTGTCTACTCTGCGTCGAGTATTGTCTACTCTGGCTGGCGCCGCTGGTCGGTCACCCATTCGCAATCGAGCGGTCGTCCGTGAGGGGCTATTGGGCAGTTTCTGTCCGCCCATTCCGTTGCCGAGCGCGGAAGGGGGGGGGGGGGGCGGCGGCGCCCCGCCCCGTCGCCCGCCGCCGCGCACCGCGCGCCTTGGCGGATTTCCAAAGACCTGGCAAGGCAAATCACGCGCGACTCTGGAAATTCCCCGGCGGTACAGTTGAACAAATCCGGGGACATTTTTGAACATGTCCGGCCAGCTTTTTGTAAGAAAACCAGAATCGCGCTTGTTTTTATGAAAACTGCCGGGGGCGATTCTGGAAAATCCTGGAATCCATTGCGAAAAGCTTCGGATTTCAGAATTATTCAAATGTCCTGCGCGGCGGGCGCTTTCCACCCCTCATAACTGTTTTCTGACGCATTCCCCAATCCAGAAATAAAGTCCGGGCGGCCCGACGGGCGCGGCCGGCTGATTCACGCGCAGCGCCGCGCGCGAGCGGGCGCAGCGCGCGCCGCGCGTCGCGCCCGCGAACAGCACTCGAGGGGGCCACCTCGAAAACAGCGCCGCGGCAGCTGCGACTCGCGGACCCCCCAAGAGCGACACAGCATGCAGCTTGGAATCTTCGAGGGCGCTCCGACGCGCAAAAAATTCACCGCGAACATCGCGCAAATAACCTGCGCAATGGAACGCGCTCGACCATTCGTCCCTGGAGCCCGCGCGGAAGAACAGGAAAACCTGGAAATCTGGAAAACTGTCAATAGCAATTTTTCACGCCCCTCTGATTGATGGTCTGAACCTGCCGGGCAATTGAGCCCGGCTGATTCGAGCCGCCGCGCCGCTGGACAGCAGGGGCTCCGCGCAGAGCGCCGCGAGCCGAATCAGCTCTAGCACTGCGCCCCGAGAACAAAGATCAAGCGCTTCGAGCAAACAGCGGGGGCGGGGAGCAGCGCCGAGGACTCTGATCCACCGACGGTTCAGAACCCCCAAGGCACTCGCTCCCAGACAGACAAACAGCCTCGCAATGAGGGGGCCTAGGGCCAGGCAGCGGGGGCCTGACCGAGGCGGCGCGACCGGGGGCCTCTTTCACCGACAAGCTCACAGGATGCACAATCGAAGGCCGAGGGAAATCGAAAGGGGCCTGTCGTCTGAATACAAAATCGCACGGGCTGGGGGCATCTGGCGCAACAAAAAGCCGCATCAGCACGAGCCAGCAGGGAGGGCCATCTGCGAGACGGAACGCGCTGCTGCAATGAACATGGCGCAGACGCAAATAAGAAATGGATGCCTCTCTTGCACCAAAGGGCCTGCCTAGCCGCTGCAGCTGAGTAGGCCCCCACTGCAATAAAGCCTGGAAAAAACCTCGCGCCCCCCCCCCCCCCCCTGCATGATGCATGCCAGAATGCCAAGGCGGCCCCGAGCGGACACGCCAGGACCAGGGGACCCGAGGACGCACGCCCACTGGCCACTGAAAGCAGGCCAACGCGGTCGATCATGCAGGGGGGCGGAACTCGGAAAGCTTGCCACTCGTAATCTCGTCAGCACGTGAACGCGCGGAGGCAGCATCACTGTCTGTGTCAGCTGCTGCCGCGGCAGAGGCGGCGCCAGTTCCAGGCGCAGCTGCTTCTCCTGCGCCAGCTGCTCCTTGACCAGTACCACCTCCATCTGTTTCACCTGCTTCGAGGAGACGGCGTTTCTGTTGCAACCGATCTGCGTGGGCTGCATGCTCAGGGTTGATGGCATCCACTTTGGCGTTGGCCTGCGAGAACAGTTCCTTCGCCAATGTGCCGGCACCGCTCTTGAGCTGCTGCGCCCGAGAATCACATTCGCCTTGGTGTATGCCGATAAATCGCAATCCTCAAACTTGAAGGTGTCGCCAAAATCGATGTCGAAGAAGGATGAGAGCTTCGACCCGTCGAAAAGGACCTCAGCGGGCATACGAGGGACAGGCGACTCCTGAGGCAATGTGGAATGTAACTTCTGAACCAGCTGCTTGCGATGTTCCCCAGTCTCAGCGAACTCAGCCGAAGCTGCACAACATGATCTCGTTGCGCTGACAGCTGCTGCCCGAGAGAATTGAACTTGCCAGCCGCCTGCCCCGCTCTGCGCTCAATGGTCTTGGCACGCTGGTGGGCTTTGTTGAGCTGGACCTGAGTAGACCCTGGGACTGACATAGGCTCGGCGAGGGACTTGGCAGCCACACGGTGGGCAGCTGCTCCGACCTTGTCACCAAGCTTCTCGCACAGTCGCCAACTGCAAACACTCCTCCGCAGACAAAGGCGGCTTGGCCGCTTCATCTGATAACCCCCATTTGCCACCCTTGCCTCCTCCTCTGCCTCCACCGAAGCCAACAAATGTACCATGATCACTTGTGTGGGATCCACCTGGTGGAGGTCCTGCTGGCCACGTCGAACTCGGATCAACCATGGAGGCCGACTTGAGCGCACCGAAGTATTTGCAGAAGTAGAACCAGGCCTCGTTCTTGCCGCACCCGCACAAAAAAAAAAAAAAAAAAAAAAAAAAAAAACTTCCAGCGCTGCCCCTTTGGCGCTGCACCGCGCCGAACGCCATCACCAGCAGGAGGGGCAGGCACCTGACGACCTGGAGTGGGAGGCGGCCACGAGAACTCGTACTTCATCTGGGGCCGATGAGGGAACTGTCCGCGCTGCGGACATCCAAACGAAGCCTGCGGGGCCGAGCTCCACGCACTGTGCCACGGGGCCCAAGCGACCCTGCCCTTGCCGCCGCCGCCGCCTGAGCCACCTGCCATTGCTGCCGAAAGGACGCGATGGCTGCGAATCCTAAGAAAGAACGAGGGAGCGCCCTTGACGGAAATACCGAGCCAGAGGCCCGCAACAGCACGATGCCGATCTGAAGGAAATGCTGCTGCACGCTGAGGCTGTAAAAGCTGGAGCCAGAACGGCTCGATCCTCGGGAAGGGGGGAAGGAAAGGCAAGCGAAGGAGCGGGGAAGGCCCAGGAGGGACCCGCGGGGCCCCGAAACCCAGCAGGGTTCCCGCTCAAACTAAACGTGCGCCGAATTCGAAGGGCATGCTGGCCTCGCTCCCCGAGCGTGTCAACCTTACGCTTCGCGGTGGAGGCACGGTGCCGTGCTGCGAGCGCTGTCGGGGGGGGGTCCTCGAGTTGCTTGACCTTGGCCTCCTCGACCTTCGCGATGGCCGCCGAATCGGCGCCGTGGTCCTGGAGGAAGTTGCAGATCTGAACCGCCGCCGCTGCTTGCACCACCCGTGCTTGATGACTGGGTGCGGCGGCTCCCTCCATGCCCGCCGTCCCTCCGCTGCCCCTGCCTGTGCCCTTGAGCGACGACAGCTCCGCTTTGAATTCCTTGAACTCCCTGGCCATACGCGACTGCTCGCTGACAGGAGCCCCGTTATACCATGCACTGCCATTCCGCGGCCTCCACACGACTGTTTGAGAGCTTCACGGGCCCTGTGCTGCGTTAACTGGGAAGCTGGAGCTTCACAACCACAGCACTTGAGCCGAATTGCCCGGTTGCCGCACTCTGCGCACTGGCCGCAGCCCCAGAGAGCAACTTCGGGCCTCGCAGGACATCATCTTGTGTGCCCATGCACGTTGGCTCTGAGCACCAGCATAGACGTCATTGGGCCCGCAGGCACGAGCACCACTCCGAAGCACGCGCCTGCAACACTCTCGAGTGCGAAACGGCTGAGGGAGAGGGTTAGGAGGCAACTACTGGGAGGTCTTCGTCGGAAGAATTAAGGAAGAGTACACCCCATCTGGGGGCTCTCACGCCGGAGTGGGCCTCGGATTGAGCAGGATTAAGCGGGATCAAGCCGGATTAAGCGGGATTAAGCAGGATTAAGCCGGATGAAGCCGGACCAAGGCAAAATCAGAATTTCACCTCCCAGGAGTTGCATCCGAAAGAGGGTGGGAGGGGAAGTCTGTAGAAGGAGAGGATGAAAGGGAAGTCTGTGGGGGGAGAAGAGCCCCCCAAACCCAGCGGCGGCACGGGTCCTCTTCGTCGGTGCCGCCAGAGGCGCCTCTGCAGCGGAGGTGGGCACGCTCACGTCGCGTGGAGGCAAGGGGAGGGAGAGAAGGAGAAGCGGGGGGAGGGGAGAGGGGGAAGGGCGGAGGGGAGGGAGGGGGAGTGGTGGGAAGTGGGTGAGTTGTACTGAGGATGATGGTAAAGCAGAGGTGCTCTGGCAGAGGCGCATCTGCTGCGGCCCATAGTCTTGCTCGCGTTGACTGGCATGCGGCATATTGATTCCGGATCTAGAAAGTGCTCGATCTGGCCGCTGCCTTAGCGACGTCCACCGCATGGTGTGTCAGATGTGAATGATGAAAACTCGTTGATGATTCAGAAGCCGCGGTAGCCTCGTTCAAGCGGCCGTTCAACTCGCGCATGGCTTCTCGTGTGTTTTTTGCCGGTGCCGACGGCGGAGGCGAAATGTCTGGGGCATCCGATCTCGCTGGTGCGCCAACCCGTCCCAACGGCGAATGGCAGAGCGGGCGCTTAAGGTGTATGCGATGACTGGTGCGCGGTCGCGTAGGCGTGCTGGCCAACGGACAGGAAGAGGAGGAAGACCACGACGACGACGACGTCGACGACGACGACGGCGACCACTACGACGACGAGGAAGAGGAGGAAAAGGAAAGGGAAGACGATGAGCGCAAGGACGAGGACGAGGAGGAGGAGGACAACGTGGACGAGAACGGAGCCCTCGAAAATTGCCCCTTGGAGCCCTCCTGGGACTGCGCCGGGACTGACGTGGTAGAGCCGCCATGCTACGATAGAGAATGCCGAGCAAGGAGCGAAAGGGATTTTCTGGCCACGCCGATCTGCGGCCAGGAATGCCCGTCGGACAGGAGAAGTGGGTCGAACCATGAAGTACAGTCGAGGCCTGACCGCAGGGAATTCTTAACAAGACACCCAAATCTGAGACTCCAGGACGGCCATTGATTGTTGATGTGGGAACCTCACGTTGTCTACAGCAAAACCATGGAAACCCAAGAAACCCGGGGCACCCTGGAGGCAAGCAAGGTGCTTCTTGGCATGGGCCCCCAATGTAGGAGGGCGTTGGAAATAGATTCGGCTTCCACCCGGCCAGGACGACAATAAACTCGGGTGGGGACAAATCGAGAATCTCTGACGAATGCCCGTCGGACAGGAGAAGTGGGTCGAACTATGACATAGGAGGGCGTTGGAAGTAGATTCGGCTTCCGTCCGCCCCCTGTAAGACGAAGCTAGGACGAGGATAAACTCGGGTGGGGATAAATCCAGAATCTCTGAGATCCGGCGGCTCTGGAAGACGTCTCGGGACGCGGTATTCTCAGAGCGTTCCGGAACGCTAGGGAACGGACTTATCCTCGTCCTAGCCACGCCCGACCCTGAAACGGAGGGAAGAAGGAAGACCACTCGACTCTTGAAGAAGGAATGTGCCTCAAATAGATTGGGATAAGGGCATCCATATGATCTCTACTTTCCACGACCGGCGTGCAGGTTCCCCGAACTCAATCTGTAGAGCGGCCAGAAGTCCAGAGCTCCTCCTGAACCCGAGCAAAGTGGTCCTTCCTTCAGCGTCTTGACTGCGCTCGGGTTATAAAAACGCCGAACAAACAGCTGAAAACCCTACGAAAGCCCTCCTCGAATCGCCCCCGTCAACCAACCTCGATGAGCCCTCCCCGCCCCGCAAGCGGCATCTCTGCCTTCTGAGGGCACGGGGGGGGCTTCTGAGATCTGGTGCGTCGAAGAGGGAGCCAGGAGAACGGGAGCGTTAGCGTATCAAAACCCCGCGGCATGTGCGCGGACGAGGGGGGGTCAAAGGACACATTACAAGAACAAGAGGTGCGCATGAAATACGGAAGATCTGATGACAACGGCCATGGTGTCCACCCCTTGATCCTCACCATCCCCCTCTTATGGCCTTATCCCGTCCACGCGGCAGCACAGAAGTAGTTGTCAACGGAAACCATCAACGAGCATCGTTCTTGACAGCGTGGGCCGGCCTCAGTGAAAAAATGTGCTACAGGGACAATGGCTGGTCCTGATGAGGACGCCACTGTGCACCAGCCTACTGCCGAAACGCTGGAATACGTCAACCAGTTGACCGAGAGAGAAAAGTAGAGGCTGTCAGCCGAAGTCCATCAAGGGCTCGCCTTCGCCGTGGCTGCCGTGCCGAAGGTGTACGACGAGGGTTCTAAGCGGAGCGCGTCGTGCAGCAGTGTAGTGTGGATCTTGTTGGTGTATGAGAACGGATAAGTGGTGCATGGCGAGGTCTCCAACGCGGGTGCACTTCCAGGCGCGCGACAAGGGCTTCAACGCGGAGGCCTTTCTACGCGCGCCTAGCAGAAGGGTCACGTGGCTTACACCCCTGGGCCAGGGACAATCACTCAACGGAGGCGTGTTGTCAGCCAGGTGGGTGGCAAAGTCAAGAAAGCTGGAAATGTTATTCACCCATCTGCGCGACAACACAAAAGCGGTTGCAAATGGCAAACCTCTACGGGTACCGTTCTCGACAACGTCGGCCAGCCTCAGTAGGAAATCTGGTGATGCAAGATCAGCAGCAGGTCCTGATGAGGACCACTGTGCACACCAGCCCACTGCCGAAACGCTGGAATACGTCAACCCGTTGGCCCTGTCAACGTCCGCTGGCCTCATTGGGAACATCTGGTGCTGGAGGATCTCATCAGCGGCGGGTCCCGATGAGAACGCCTCTGCACACCTGCACACTGCCGAAACGCTGGAATGCTCCAACCTGTTTGCCAAAGTGTGGCAGACTGGATCTTCTACTTGCCAACGAATGAGGTGTCGACCCTTTTTGGAAGGGAAACTCCTGAGAAGGCTTCTTGGAAGGCATGCGGGCGTTTTAGAGGTGGAACGCCCTACCAGGCCGCCGGAGGCGGAGTCCCCCCCCACGGGGGGAGCGCGCCCGCGGAGCCGCCGGCCGCGCCCGTGCTGCCCGAGGCTGGCGTCGCGCGGTCCTGTGGGGGGTGGGGGCGGCGGCGCGGGGAGCCCGGAGCAGCCGGGCGTCAGAGAACCGGGGAGACCAAAAGGTATTGATACCGCCACTCTCCGACCGCTCACAGGGTGCGTTCTGGCCAGAATTTCGAGGCGAATCCAGCGGTGACGACGAGGACCTCCCGGGAGGCCGAGAAACGGGAAAACGGGGGAAGGGTAGCGGTATGAATACCTTTTCCTCCTCTGATGAACGGAGGGCCCGAAGACTTTCTGGGGGCCCCCGACCGTGCGGGAGCCCACAGAACGCCTCCAAGGGGGCGGCCATAGGAGCAGAAGGACGAGCAGAAGTAACAGAAGTGGAAGGAGGAAGCGAGCAAGGAGAGGCGAGCGCGAACCGCCGGTCCCGTTCAACAAGGTTGGGGCAGGGGGGAGGGAGTCGGGAGGGGGGTCCGCTTCTTACATATGGACATATGGAGAAATGCGGTTTGGGGAGCTGCGTGGGGCTCCATGTGTTCCCTGGGGGCCCTAGCCAACACGCCCAGGAAGCCCCCCGGAGGATTACATAGAGGGGACGGACGGATGCAGCGCGGGCGCGGCCGCCACAAACCATCGCAGGACACCTCACCCTGAAAACCCGCGCGCGCGAGGTGCAGCCAAGGGCCCGCACAGAGCACCCCGAACGCAGCAGCCTCCTCCACGGCAGCGGGAAGCCACACCGCAGCGCGCGGAGCGAAGACACCCGAGGCACCTCGTCTTGATCTGAGGGATACAAAAACGCCCCCACCCTGGGCTACCTCCCAAAGGCCAGAGAACCGCCAGGACGCCGCGCGACACACGCGATACATGCAGTGTTTCCCCTGTCAGCCCACAGGAGGTTCATCACGCAGCGCCTCGTAAACCAGGGCAGGGGAGTTTTCAACGCCCTTGATTGATGCGCGGCCACGCTGAGAGAAGGCTCCAGGAATCCCTGGCCGCCTGGCCAAGGCGGCGGCCCGGGAGGCGGCCGCGCATGGGGGCGACCCGCTGGCGGCCCCACCGCTGCAGAGCGCGCCCTTGAGCAGAGGACGCCACGCCTCCTCCTCCCCCTTCTTCTCCTCCTCCTCCTACTGCTCACCCTCATCCTCCGCCTCCACCTCCTCCTCCTCCTCCTCCGCCCCCGCCACCGCCTCCGCCTCCGCATCCGCATCCGCCTCCTCCTCCCCCCCCTCCTCCTCCTCCGCGTCCTCCTCCTCCTCCGCCTCCTCCTCCTCCTCCTCCGCCTCCGCCTCAGCCTCCTCCTCCGCCTCCGCCTCCGCCTCCTCCTCCGCCTACTCCTCCTCCTCCTCCTCCTCTTCCTCCTCCTCCACCTCCTGCAAACGCCGCGGCGAGTCTATCACGCGCCCGACACACACCCTGAGCACGTAGCCGAACGCCAGGACAACGAAGAGCCGCGCGACGACCTGGCAGAGCAACGCGAGCACCAGCAGCCGCCCGGCTAGGCCGCCGCGGCGGCGCGCAGTTCAGCTGCCAGCCCGGCGCCGTCCGCGCCCAGGGCGGAGCGCAGCTGTCGGGCTGTGGCCCGGTGGAGAGCTACGCTGAGCCCCCGTCCCCACCGGGCCACCAACTGTCCGGCCAGGGCCTCCGCCTCGGCCTCGTCGCCCGCCGCCAGCAGCGCCGCCTGCTCCCGGGCGAGGCCGCGGAGGTGCTTGGGGGCCGCCTAGCCGTGCCGGCCGGCGGTCTCCTGTGCCAGGGGCACCATCCGCCAGGGCGCCTGCCTCGCCGGGCAGCGGCGGTGCTTGTCCGCCTCCGCGGCGGCGTTCGCAGAGCCGTCGCGGCCAGCGGCGGCCCGCAGGGCGCTGACGTCGGCCGGCACGCTGTACGGGACCGTGACGTCGAAGAAGGTGCGCGGCTGCCCGGGCCGCTGCACCTCGAGGTCGAGGATGACCTCCTCGCGCTCGGCAGCCAGGGCGCGGCCGCCGCTGCAGGCGTCGCCTGGTCGCGCCGCCGCGGCCCCGCGGGCGTCGCACCCGGCGCAGCGCCAAGCCAAGCGGCCCCAGGCCGGGACGTGGACCTGGCGGGAGGCGAGGTGGCCGCGCTCCGCGTGGATGCGCTGCCAAGCTCGCTCCAAGTCGCTGCTGCGCGCCTTCAGGCCCCCGCCCCGGGAGCAGCGCCAAGCGTGGCGGGCCTTCCTGCAGAGCGCCTCGCCGCAGCGCTGGCCTGCCCGCTCGCCCGTTCTGGTGCGGTTGCAGCAGGTCGCCCCAGGCGGCGCCGCGCCCTGCCCGAGGAGGGCGCGGGCGGTGGCCCTGTAGTCCGCGTCGTCCAATCGCTCGCGGGGCTGCCCGGGCGAGGTTGTCTGCCACCCGGAGGCGCGAGGCCCGCCGCAAGAGCGCAGGAGCGCCCTTTCCTTCAGCTCCAGAGCCCTCAGCAAGGAACTCTGATTTTTGTGATCAATCCTTGCGGCGAGGGTTTTCTGAAGCCTTCGGGCAAGCGTCGCGGCCAGCTCTTGCCAGGTGGGCAGCTCGGCCGGCTCCGCGCCGGGGCGAAGCGGCGACGGCGCCAGCTGCGCGAGCCCGGCCAGCGCGTCGCGGCAAGCGCCCGCGAGCGGGAGCCCGCTGGTCTCCAGGTCAGCCAGGCAGGCGAGGCCGGCGCGCTCCCGAACCCCGCTCAGGCTCTGCGCCCAGGAAGCGGCCCAAGCTGCCGGCGCCAGCTGGCTGCGAAGGCCGCGCCTGCCGGTCCGCAGGGGCAGCTGGCACTGCGCCCGCTGTGGTGCCGTCAGCGGGTCGAGCTCCGCGTGCTCCTCGTAGGCCGCAAACAGGGCCTCGTCGTAGGCCGCGGCCGCGGCCTCCGAAGCAGCCGGTGGGTTCGTGCGCAGCAAGTGTGTCAGTTTGCTGGTCCCGCAGTGCCGCAGTAGGAGGCCCGCGGTCTGCGCCGCTGGCAAGTGCGGCGAGGCCGTAGTCGGGAGGGCCGCGAGCTTGGCGAGGAGCTCCGCCGCCCGCCCCGCCGTCTCCGCGCAGCGCGCCTTCGCGTAGTCCGCCGAGCCCAGGTCGACGCGGCGCCCGTCGCTCTCGTCCGGCAAGCCCCCCGCGGGCAGAGGGGCCCCGAGCGGCGCGCCCACAAGGGTCAGGCCCTCCGCGCGCCATTGGTCCTCCATGCCAGGAGGGCAGGCCGCGCCCGCGGACCAGGCCTGTGTTTTTCGCGGCCCCAGCGCCAAGCCGAAGTCAGCCAGAGCCGTCTGCGCCGCCGCCTGCACGTCGCCCGCGAGCGCCGCCGGCGCCAACACGACGACGTCGTCCAAGTAGGCGAGGACGCGCACGGCGCCGGGGTCCAGCCCCCTCCGCTCCGCGGCCGCTCGCAGGGTTTGCTCCAGGGCGCGCAGGCGGGGCCGCACCCCGCAGGCAAAGAGCAGCGGCGCCAGCGGGTCTTCCTGGTCCACCCCGCCAGTTGCGCGCAAGCGGTGGCAGACGCCCGCCGCGTCCCAGAAGTAGTACTGGGACTCCCGGCGGCAGAGGAGGCTTGCGTAGGGCAGCAGTTCTGGCGCTGCCGCCTCCAGCTCCCGCAGGCAGGCTTCCCTGTTGGCGGAACAGTACGCGTTCTTGGCGTCGAGCGCGATCACCACCAAGCTGGGGTCTGCTTCCGCCAGCGCCCGCGCCGTGTGCGCCAAGAACTGTGTGCCCGCAGCCGTGCCCACAGCGAACTGCTGCCTCCGCAGCGCCTCAGCCAGCTCGTGCTTGCGGGGCGTCACCAGCGCCCGGCCCACCAGCCGCCGCAAAATGTTCGGCGCGGCGATGGGCCGAACCCCGCCGCCTGGCTTGCGCAGCGGCGTGAGCTTTGCGAGTGCCAATGCCGCCGCGGTGCTCTCGGGCACCCGTCCCTCTGCGATCCTGTCGCAAACTCTGCAGAAGGCGGCCAGCGCGGTGGGCTCGGCGAGCACGACCCGCCAGTGCCGGCCCCTCCTCCTCCTCCTCCTCCTCCTCCTCCTCCTTCTCCTCCTCCTCCGTCTCCCCCTCGACCTCCTCCTCCCCCTCCGCCTCCCACTCCTCCTCCTCCTCTTCCTCCTTTTCCTCCTCCTCCTCCTCCTCCTCCTCCTTCTCCTCCTCCTCCTCCTCCTTTGTCTCCTCCTTCTACTCCTCCTCCCCCTCCTCCCCTCCTCCTCCCTCCCGCTGGCCTGCGCCACTGGCCCAGGAAGGAAACATCGACCTGGAATCGGCGAGGCATCGCCGATAGTAAACGGCAGGCCCTCGATTGCCTGACCGAACGGTCGGGCCTGGCGGATCAGGCTATGGGGCCCCTATAGGCGATCGATGGGCGATCGCGGGTCCGTGAATCTCACCCTGAACCTATCCAACGTTGCCCCTGAAGCATGTACCACTCCGGCTTCCGACGCCACTGGCGCACCAAGACGCTGGGGCGGGGACCCTGATGGCGACTGTCTCCGCGACCATACCCTTATACCCCCGATAAGAAACACCTCGGGAAAAATAAACGTTTTCTCGGCAGATCGCGAGGATGATGATGATGATGATGATGATGATGATGATGATGATGATGATGATGATGATGATGATGATAATAATGATGATGATGATGATGATGGTGATGGTGATGATGATGATTGATGCTGCTGATCATGATGGTGATAGTGGTGATAATGGTGGTAATGGTAATAATGCACTCTGCACTAAGCACTCTGCAGATCCTAAAGCTGGCCCGCGCTCTTGAGATCCTTCCACTCGTTCGTGGCTTGGGAAAGCTGCAGCGGTGAGAACCCCATAGCCCTGCCACACGTTCGTGACTTGCGAAAGCTGAAGTGGTTAGACCCCTATTGCCATGCCACACGTTGTTGATGATGTTGCTAGTCCTCATCAGAAGATGGCAACTTCGACTCGCAACTTTCCCCCGCGATACTAACAAGCGGCCTTGCCGCCCCTCTCCCCCGACCAAATCTGCATTGGCCAGGGATACTGAATATCTCAGAGATTAAGGGGGGATGATTGATTGTCCGAGGGGTGTGGTTAGAGGCCTCGCAGATGGGGTCGTATGAGATGGGGTCGGCAGAGCACGCCGCATCACCGACACATCGGCGACGTCGGCGACGCATGGGCGACGTCGGCGTGGAGAAGATCGGGCTCCACATCGAGCCGCATCGCCGCTGCATCCGCGATGCGGCGCCGTCCTCGGAGACCATCTGCTCTGACACCATCTGGGAGGCCTCGAGATCATCAACCTGAGCAGCGTGCCGGACTACCAGTGCAGGCTCGCATGCGTCTCGAGACTGAGCGCCGCCACGTCTCCACCAGAACCTCGAGGCCTTCCCTCTAAACCATATGTGCATGGCGCCGCCCTCTGCAGCCTCGCCCACGCGAACGCTCCGTGCCGCGTGCGTGCTGCGGATGGCAACGCCCACGTCCACAACCACGCACAGACGGCCGCCAGTGCCCTGACCACGAAGTTGAGAACGACCTCTTTGTAGGCAAGCGTGGCCTTCATCAGCAACTGCCTGAGAAGCCAGTACGGTTTCGGAGCATGTCGTTCCTCGTTCACGTCGTGAGCACGACTCGATAGGACCTATGATGCGCCGACTCTTTCCTGCACACGTTTACGTGGGCAGCGGTAGCAGCTGCGCACAGCGCAGCGCCACGCGCATTCCCGAGCATTTGGTGAGTAACTCAAACTGGAACCCTGAGCTGCGCGAGCCGCAGCTGGGTGGCGACCGCGAACTCAACAGCTTGGAGGAACTCGTCAACTTTTCGGACGATGGCCGTCGTCGTGGTGCCCACACCAGGACCTCCAGCCGTCCTGGTGCCACGCAGGACCTCCTCGTTACCGCTTTGCGGGGACACAACCACACCGAGGGCACACACAGGGGGGATGTCTTGCGCAGGCCGGAAGTTGCCAGAGCACCGAGACCAGCTTCGCACTGGTTGTGGTCGATGTGGCGTCCAAAGACAACCAAATCGACCACAACCACAACCGTAGTGCTCGTGTCGAGGTCGGCGGGTTCTCCCCCGAAGAACCCTCCAGAAAAATCAACGTAGTTGTGGTTGTAGTTCTTTGTTGTGCCTGGATGCTAGCCCACGCCAGGGTTGCCTCGAAAGCTTCGATCTAGCGAAGCAGCATGCTGAGGATCTTCCTCCATTTAACCAGCAGGAGGAGTGAGGATAAAAGGAGGGGGAGGAAGGAGAAGGAGGAGGAGGAGGAGGAGCGAGGAGGGAGGAGGGAGAAGGGAGGAGGAGGAAGAGGAGGAGAAAGAGGGAGAAGGTAGACGGGAGAAGGGAGGAGGAGGAGAAAGAGGATGAGGAGGAGATGGACGACGACGACGACGACGACAACAATATTGACGACGACGTCGGCGGCGCGCTCATGGGGGAAGGCACACGGTTGGGGCCTTCTCAGAAGGCTCGGAAGCCCTGCGGCCTTCTGGGGATTCTGAAGGGATCCTGGAAATTCCAGGGGGACCAGGAGGAGCCAGAGGCCCCAGTGGGGGATTAGGAAGGGGGGCGTCGCCGCCGCCGCCGCAGCCGACGCCGCCGCCACCGCCGTCGTCGTCGTCGTCGTGGTCGTCTTCGTCGTCATCGTCGTCGTCGTCCTCGTCGTCGTCCTTGTCGTCGTCGTCGTCATCCTTGTCGACGTCGTCGTCCTTGTCGTCGCCGTCGTCGTCCTCGTCGTCGTCCTTGTCGTCGTCGTCGTCGTTGTCCTCGTCGTCGTCGTCCTCGTCGTCGTCGTCGTCGTCGTCGTCGTCGTCGTCGCCACCCGACGGCGCCGGCGCCGGCGCTGGCACTCGCCGTCGCCGGTTGCAAAGAGGGGGAGGCGGGTGGGCAGATTCGAACCCCCCTCGCAATTCAGGCGGGGCGCCCCCTCCCCCCCTCGGTTCGAACCACAGCCCCCTTGAGAGAGGGTCCCTACCCCGTCAGCTCGAACCCCCCACCCCTACCATTTTGGGGAGGGCGGAGGGCTCCCAGGTTCGAAACCCCCGCCCCACAGGGGAGCGGGGGCCCCGGTTCGAACCCCCTTCCCCCCCCTGCAACTCAGGGGGAGGGGGGCCCCGGGCTCGACTCTTGCCCCCCTCGAGGGCCCCCCGCCACCCTGGTTCGACCCGCCCCCTTCCCCTTGCATCTCGGGACGATGGGCCGCCCCATTGGTTCGGCCACCCTCCCGTTTTCGTCCACTGAACGCGCTCGTTCAAATTTAGTTTTCTGTGTTTACATTCGTTTTCATGCATTTGCGTTGCTGATGCATGATGGTCCCTTTGTTTGTTTCGTTGTGTGTTGTCCCGCAGGGCGCAAGTGATCATGTTTGTGTTGCCCCGCAGGACACATGTTGCTTGTTCTGCTTGACACGCAAAGCGCATATTGTGTATGTATTGCCCCGCAGCGGGCATTTTGTCTGACTGCAGCCTCGCAGAGCGCATTTGTCCCCACATGCTTAGTGGGGTTATGGTTTTCTTCCCTGCCTCGTCGCACCCGCGGCCCTCACACACCACCTTCCTCCTCACACCCCTCTTCCTCCCCACCCCACCTCAGCACAGCACAGCTTAGCTCAGCACAGCACAGCTCAGCACAGCACTGCACAGCATAGCACCTCAGCACAGCACAGCTTAGCTCAGCACAGCACAGCACAGCTCAGCGCAGCACAGCAAGCGCACCACAGTGCAGCAGAGCACAGCACAGCACAGCTCAGCACAGCTCAGCACAGCACAGCACACAGCACATTGACACACAGCACGTACATAGCACAGCACAGCACAGCTCATCTCAGCACAGCATTGCAGAGCACAGCACAGCCCCTCAGCACAGCACACCTCAGCATTACACAGCACAGCACAGCACAACACCTCGGGGGTGCGCAGCGGGTGGTCTCTCAGCGCGGCCGCTAGTCACGACACTGTCGCAAAGCCTAGCAGGCGTGGCACTTCCTGGACACCATAAGGGTGTGCGCAATGGGTGGTCTCTCAGCGCGGCCGCTATCCACGACATTGTCGCAAAACCTAGCAGGCGTGGCACTTCCTGGACACCATAGGGGGTGCGCAGGGGGTGGTCTCTCAGCGCGGCCGCTATCCACGACACTGTCGCGAAGCCTAGCAGGCGTGGCACTTGCTGGACACCACAGGGGGTGCGCAGGGGGTGGTCTCTCAGCGCGGCCGCTATCCACGACACTGTCGCAAAGCCCAGCAGGCGTGGCACTTTCTGGACATTATAGGGGGTGCGCAGGGGGTGGTCTCCCAGCGCGGCCGCTATCCACGACACTGCCGCAAAGCCTAGCAAGCGTGGCACTTTCTGGACACCACAGGGGGTGCGAACGGGGTGGTCTCTCAGCGCGGCCGCTATCCACGACATTGTCGCAAAGCCTAACAGGCGTGGCACTTCCTGGACACCATAGGGGGTGCGCAGCGGGTGGTCTCTCAGCGCGGCCGCTATCCACGACACTGTCGCGAAGCCTAGCAGGCGTGGCACTTTCTGGACACCATAGGGGGTGCGCAGGGGGTGGTTTCTCATCGCGGCCGCTATCCACGACACAGTCGCAAAGCCTAGCAGGCGTGGCACTTTCTGGACACCTTAGGGGGTGCGCAGGGGGTGGTCTCTCAGCGCGGCCGCTATCCACGACACTGTCGCGAAACCTAGCAGGCGTGGCACTTCCTGGACACCATAGGGGGTGCGCAGGGGGTGGTTTCTCACCGCGGCCGCTATCCACGACACTGTCGCAAAGCCTAGCAGGCGTGACACTTGCTGGACACCATAGGGGGTGCGCACGGGGTAGTCTCTCAGCGCGGCCGCTATCCACGACACTGCCGCGAAGCATAGCAGGCGTGACATTTTCTGGACACCACGGGGGGTGCGCAGGGGGTGGTCTCTCAGCGCGGCCGCTAGTCACGACACTGTCGCAAAGCCTAGCAGGCGTGGCACTTCCTGGACACCATAGGGGGTGCGCAGGGGGTGGTCTCTCAGCGCGGCCGCTATCCACGACACTGTCGCAAAGCCCAGCAGGCGTGGCACTTTCTGGACACCATTAGGGGGTGCGCAGGGGGTGGTCTCTCAGCGCGGCCGCTAGTCACGACACTGTCGCGAAACCTAGCAGGCGTGGCACTTTCTGGACACAACAGGGGGTGCGCAGGGGGTGGTTTCTCAGCGCGGCCGCTATCCACGACACTGTCGCACAGCCTAGCAGGCGTGGCACTTTCTGGACACCATAGGGGGTGCGCAGGGGGTGGTCTCTCAGCGCGGCCGCTCTGTCGCGAAGCCCAGCAGGCGTGGCACTTCCTGGACACCACAGGGGGTGTGCAGGGAGTGGTCTCTCAGCGCGGCCGCTATCCACGACACTGTCGCGAAGCCTAGCAGGCGTGGCACTTTCTGGACACCTTATGGGGTGCGCAGAGGGTGGTTTCCCAGCGCGACCGCTACCCACGACACTGTCGCAAAGCCTAGCAGGCGTGGCACTTTCTGGACACCATAAGGGGGGCGCAAGGGGTGGTCTCTCAACGCGGCCGCTGTCCACGACACAGTCGCGAAACCTAGCAGACGTGGCACCTTCTGGACACCACAGGAGGTGCGCAGGGGGTGGTCTCTCAGCGCGGCCGCTATCCACGACACTGTCGCGAAGCCTAGCAAGCGTGGCACTTTCTGGACACCATAGGGGGTGCGCAGCGGGTGGTCTCTCAGCGCGGCCGCTATCCACGACACTGTCGCGAAGCCTAGCAGGCGTGGCACATTTTGGACACCATAAGGGGTGCGCAGGGGGTGGTTTCTCACCGCGGCCGCTATCCACGACACTGTCGCGAAACCTAGCAGGCGTGGCACATTTTGGACACCATAGGGGGTGCGCAGGGGGTAGTCTCTCAGCGCGGCCGCTATCCACGACACTGTCGCAAAGCCCAGCTGGCGTGGCACCTTCTGGACATCATAGGGCGTGCGCACGTGGGGATCTCTCAGCGCGGCCGCTATCCACGACACTGTCGCAAAGCCCAGCAGGCGTGGCATTTTCTGGACATCATAAGGGTGTGCGCGGGGGGTGGTCTCTCAGCGCGGCCGCTATCCACGACACTGTCGCAAAGCCTAGCAGGCGTGGTATTTTCTGGACACCACAAGGGGGTGCGCAGGGGGTGGTCTCTCAGCCAACGACAGTGCCGCAAAGCCCGGCAGTCGTGGCATATTCTGGACGCCACAAGGGGGTGCGCTGGGGGTGTGGCAGGCGTGGCACTTTCTGGACGCCATAGGGGGTGCGCCAGGGGTGCGGCCGATACCCGTTTTGGCCACACAAAGCGTGGCAGGCGTGGCATTTCCTCGACGCCTAGGGGGTGCGCTGGGGGTACGGTCGCTATCCGTTTTGGACTCGCAACGCGTTGGCAGGCGCGGCGTTTTCTCGACACCACAGAGGGTGCGCTGGGGGGGGGGGCGGTCGTTATCCGTTCCGGACTCGCAAATCGTGGTAGGCGTGGCAACTTCT